TCTTAGCTCACAATAAATGTTTCCAATGGAAGTGCAGACTTGCAATTTGCTTAAAGCGTATCTAAAGTCAAGAAAAAACAAACAAACAGATAATATTGTATCTTACCAGTGATTAGATGTGGTGGCTGCATTATTTTCTTTTTTTTTTTCCACACTTTTTTCCTTTATTTTAGATGGGTATGACTGCCATTAACACACTTCCTGTCCTAGGGTGACAACCGTATTGATCAGCATTGTCATCCAAGAACAGGGAGTGTGTTATGACTTCATAACACTGCATAACGACTACATAGCATCTCCCTCTATTCTCCATAACAGAAGGAGGTCTTTTATAGTCCATGGAGATAACAGAGAGTAATTGATAGTCCACAGGAAGATAGCACAGGAGTTATCTGTTTGCAAGTTTTCTGACTGGATGAACAACTTTGTTTTTCACTTATGGAACAGATATATCAAAACACTTTCAATAGTATATTTAATGAGCAAATAAGAGAAATGCATTGTTTACATACATTTTAGGGTCTCCTCCATGGTCTTAGATCCATAGCTGGAATGTTGGAACATCTCATAAAATCCTGAGGATACTGGTTACCCAAAAAGACATTTCGAGGGACCTTTGAAATCCTGGTGTTATCACAGATGACACGTGCAAGAGTCGCTCTTTGTATTGAAGCTCTCTGAGCTGATGTGAACACCCCAGGGTTCTCAAAATAAAATCTGAGGAAAATAAGTTAGATATTTAAACATTCAACTTTATTATGCTTGATGTTAGAGCTACCAGATGTTTTCTCTGGATTTTCTGGAAAAAATTGTTTACAGATCTTCATTCTGAGTAGAGCTACCTCTAGAACAGGCATGTCCAAAGTTCAGCCCGCGGGCCATTTACGGCCCGGGGGTCGGTTTAATACGGCCCTCCAACAGCCCTCCCTGCTCTGTGTAATGTGGCCTTCCCACGGCCCTCCCTTCTATGGGAGACAGTCTTCTGCTTGAGAGCAGAGGGCAGTGCGCATGCCTGACTGCGGCACGTTCTCCCTGGTCTGTGTAAATGCGGCTGTCGCACGGCCCTCCCTTCTGTGGCAGACAGTCTTCTGCTTGAGAGCAGTGCGCATGCGTGACTGCGCCGCGCTGGGAGCGACAGAGGGCGGTGACGTCAGGGCCGGGCTTCCAGCGTGAAGTGTGTTTCTCTTCCCCTCCCGGCTGCCGAGCAGAAACTTCAGCTCCAGCTACCTTTTTCACCCTTCACATTAGTGCAGGTAAGTTTTTTTTAATTTATTTTCAATACATTGTGAAAACTCAGCTGTCAGTTGATCTTAATGTTATGAAATGAAAAGTATGTTGTTTGCAATTAACTTGGCATAAAATAATTTATTTGCATTTAATTGTAATGGTTCAAAGAATGTTCTGAAAAATGTTCGGCCCTCCACCATGTTCACTTCATCCAATCTGGCCCTCTTTGAAAAAAGTTTGGACACCCCTGCTCTAGAATAACTGGTAGTTAACCAACAGTGAGCTGGAAGCTTCTACCCATAGCAAAATATTTGGATTCTTATTTCTGTAGAAAATGTAACAAAGAACTAAATGGTCTAAGAGAGTTCGAGGAATGAGAGGTTTAAAGAGAAGATGCAATGTTTAGGATCCATTTTGAACTATTTTACCTATATACAAAATCTTAAACAATATATATGTAGCGCTACCCTTGCGAGGGCTGCTTATATGATGTCCCGGTTTCCCCTTAATTCACCCACACAGTGTACCCACACAGGAATAGTGTATTCCTTCAGCTAAATACACACAGACACTTCCACTCGTTGTCTCCAATGACCAGTCTAGGGGATGTTTATTTTTGGAGTTTTATTGTAGAACTGGGGATAGGGATGGGGAATTGTAGTAAGATACTCCAAAATTAGAACTATTCACACTGAGGACATCTAGCTGATCTCTTAGTTGAACATTTATGAAGTCTTGGCTGACAGTAAATAGCAGACTTCTATTGTAACGTATAGCAGCAAGTAGTTTGGGAGTAAGTAAAGTCCCTTTAGCAGTAGTAGTAGTAGTTACAAGGTTTAGCTCCTCAGGTATAAGGCAGTTACGACAGACTGCGACAGCCCAAAGATAAGGTAGCTGAGCAAAGTCCTTTGTAGTAGCAACACTTGGACAAGCTCTTCAGAACACTAGCCAACATTCCCTTTTTCCAGACCCACGCTGACTATCAAACACCAGGGGAGGTAGCAAGAGCACAGAATCCCCAAATATCTTCTTAGTGTCAATACTCTCAAGGCTCAGGGACAGAATGGTTTTCTCCTTCCAATCTTCCAAGCAAAACCCTCCAGTGATACCAAACAGAACTTTGGCAGACAGCTCCCCTCAGTCAGCTTATTGAAGAAACAGGGTCACTCTCTCTAACTTCAGGCCCTCAGGTCAACCCACCTGAGGCCACATCTCAGCAAGTGCCAGGTGAGGCAGCCTTCCTCCAGCCTGGCTGGTGCAATCCACTCCCAGGAAAGACACTGAACCCATGTGCTCTCCAAACATAAATACCACTCCCAGGATTCAGTGGGGCAACCCTCCCCTGCAATTGGCCAGGGCTGTATTCATAATCATGCTGTGCTTTTGCCCAGCCCCTACCCATGTTCTGGAAGGCTCTCATAGCTTCCCGAAGGTGGGCAGAACTCAGACAAATTCCAACAGCACCAGAGCAGCATGAGCAGACCTAACTCATCAATCACAGCACTCTGTTTAGCAGAATACCACACTGAATTTACCTGACAGCCTCTCTGGTAAGCAGAGAAATACAGCTATGATTAACCTAACTATACACATCCTAGCACCTAACTAGGAGGGGGCTACATATAAAACAAAAAAAAAGTCCAGGATGAACCCATGAAAATGACTCCCATAACACTATGAGAAGTTTAATAGGAGTGCACAGCAACACCTGTTTTTTTTAGACAAGCTTAAGCTGGTCATGCATGGATCGAATTTCAGCCATTTCTGCATGGACCAGTCAAATTTCAATCCATGTATAGGCACTGTGGTAGCACAGAAGTTCACCTACCATTTCTCTTCTGTACAAACTCCTTGTTGGATTTTCCCCGCTCAATCAGCGCTGCAAGCTATAGCCTGCAAAGCTGATCAGTGTATTTTGACAGCGGGGGAGTCTTCTTGCAGTGGGGAAAATCCACATCCACATCAAAGGTGTGGATAGGAGTCATTTTTTTTTTTTAGTTTAACCTGGTGTTTGAATTAAAAAAGAAATTGACTTAATTATGGGCTGCCTAACATTATGGAGCTAGCTAAAGGGAAGAGGACAGAGGCAGTTAAATAACTATTTGGGCTCATTGACTTGTTTCTTGGGGTCTTCCTAAAGCACCCCACATATTTTTTTTAATTCCTTTATACCTTCCATACCTTCTAGATAGTCACATCAAGTCATGGGTCCTTCCTTGTTTTTTGGGTGTTTGAAGCAATGATGTCTGAGTGTCATTCTGTCTTGGAGTACTCTGAGCCCAAACTGGCATGGTGATGTACCCCTAGGGGGTGTATCCATGATGATGTGGGTTTAGAGAAGTAGGTTGAATGACAGTGGGCATCATTCACCCCATAGGTAGACATCAGAGAAGCAAGTCTTTGGAAAGAAGGTGAGTATTGCAGCAAGAGCTGCTTTTTACTTTTAAACATGCTGGCTTCTTTTTTTTTTTACTTTATCACAATTGTAGAGTTGATCTTTAAGCCATTGTGCTCAAGAAACAATAGGCTTTTTAACAGAAAATAGACAAAGGTGAGATCATCTACATAGGTAGGGTATTTGGCCACAAGATTTATTATTCCCCTAAAGTCTTCAACAGAGTAGAGTTTCATAAATACTCACCGATCTCCATCTCTGGCCCTCCGCATCTGGTTTCCAATCAGACAGGTGAGTAACTTCCCAATTCTGCCATTGCGGACCAGAGTTTCAGCAACCCCTCCAACCCAGATGTCAATATTTTCAGGAGTGCCATAAAGATTTATGAATCTTTGAGCTAGTTGGGTGTTATTCAGCACAGTAGCCAACTCCTGCATATTGCGGGGAGCAGAAAGTCCACAAAACCTCCGGTATGCATTGTATCCTGGGAAAGAAATAATCATATATGAGGACACAGTCCTATACAGAACTAGCTACTGTGTTTAGAAATGATGGAAAAAAAGTCAATCGGTGACAAGTACCTGGCAGTCCATGTTCTCTGCCTCTTTGCATGTTAATAGCTGGTAAATCGAGACCATCCGCTTGAAAAGCTTGAACAGACGTTCCCTTAATTCATCCACCACCAGCTGGTTCTGACGGTTAAGTTTGGCTCGGTTAGCCATGAGACCACGGAGCAGAGGATCGATCCCTCCTGCACAACGAATGCAAAAAAAAAAAAAGACATACTAGATGCATGGTATGTGCTGTACACATTGCTACATGAATATTCTTTTTTCATATATCTTAATAATCGTTAATATCAATGACACATGCATTATCACTTCTACATTCGATTTTATACAAAAATGTGAATCAGATTACCTTGTCTGACCACTCTCCAGCTGTTGAAGAAAGTCATATGAAGTGGAACCTGTGGTTCTGGCATAAGAGGGCGATAACCGTCATCGAGGCGGTAGATGACAGGCTGTATCAGAGTATGGCCCATACGAAACACAACGGTAAATACATTGGCCACTCTTGGGTCCACAGACTCATTGTATCCTCTGTACCTTGGGAGGACCTGTTCCAATTCTGATCCCAACAGTAAAGGCAACCAGTCGTAAAAAGTTATTTTCTGTCAAATAAAAAAAATTATAGTGATTGCCAGGGCTTAGAATGAATCATGAATAAGAAAAACCAACTTATATGGTACCTGAAGTTGTCCCCCTACAATTTTCCTGGCTTCTTGATATAGAGTCTCTCCAGACCATCTGGGGTTCATTCTGCGTAGCTCTGTTGCTATACGGTTGTGTTCTCGAACGAACAGAGTGTGGTAAGCAGTAAGACCAGGCTGTTCACTGACACGAGGGTCTCCTGACGGTAATGAAAGCAGAGGATACAACAAAAAGTACAGATAAAGACCAAATGCATCATTAGTTCCTGTCCAGTTTCATTGAAGAACAGTCCATAATTTCTCTGAGCATTTCATTCTGTTTGGTGGGGGGTAGGTATCCTTAGAATGGGAAGGTACTGACAACAACATTTCCCAAGGTTTTAATCTTAAATTGTGTGTTAAAAATGTCTTATCTGGAAGTGGGATTAATCTACCCATCCAAGAAACAGATAAAAACCTGAAGCGTTTAATCCTTTCCAGCTCTATACAAATGAATTACAAAGTTTTTGTTGGATTTGTATCTTAAGAGCTCATGTACATGAGCGTATTTGGCCATGTGACATATAATAAAGCTGTATTATGGTGCCTGAGAGCCACAGATGTAATATCTACGTAAATTAAAGTGGAACTAAACTCTGTCAATCAACACTGACTATTTTAATCCTTATGCTCCTAGCAATAGTAAATAGATAGGAAAATAAATATTTTCTTGATTTAGACAGTTTTTTCCTACATTTCTCCAATTATTTGGTCCTGGTTTCCAGGCCTAGTCGGATGATGTCACGCATCCCAGGAGTCTTCAGGAGGGGAGGAGGGGATTTATAAGCTAAGCACACCCTCTTTCCTACATGCTTACTCTAAGGGAAGATGGATTCCAGGAAGTAAATGCTACATAAATCACCTTCCCTTACTTAAGTTGGCCCTGGCCAGAAATGCTAGGGGGTGTTCTTCAAAGTGATTTTTCAGCAAAATAAAGCATAGAGACATGGATGGATGGGGGGTTTACTTTGAATATTAAAACTGGATAAAATATCGTTTTCTGTTTTTGTTGCTCAGATTCAGTTAAGGTCCACTTTAATTAAAGCATTTGGTAGTACTCTGTCAGTACTAGTGTAGACACACATGCGTACAGGCATACAACTCTGAATGCAGTCTGTGCTGTACGCAACACCTGTGGTTCCCAGGTGCAGAAATGTGGCCATATGTTACAAAATTTGGCACAATGAACACCTGTGCATGAGTCCTTCACAATAAAATGGCCTAAAAAACTGGTTCAAACAAAAGAATAATAATAGAAATATATGTAAAACATTAAAATTATATACTGTACAGTTTTAAAAAATTGCATTTCTTCTAAGGTCTGTCAATATTCTTTGTGCAGTGGCTTATAGAACAGACTCGTACAGCCTTAAAGCAGTGTTAAAGTTCCCGGAAAAATAAAAGCCCCCCTCCTGTTCTGGTTACGTCACTGGCTGCTACATATTCAAATATCTCCTATATGGTGCACGTTTAGGAGATATTCACTATACCTTCAGGTAAGCCTTATTATGGAGTTTACTACCACATTAAGCTGGCCTTAGATCAAAATTTGGCCGATTCAGGGATCGAATGAAAACATTTGTAACAGAGAATGTGGTTTTCATCTATTTATTCCATAATTGAATGTTAAAAGCAAATGATATGTTGAAGTAGTTTTGAACAGCGTTTGTCAAGTCATCAAATGTACTGAGAATTTTTCTATGAATGTTTATATGAATGTTTGTTTGAAAAACTAATAGGGTATAGCCAGCTTAAGTTATCCAATATGGACATGGGCAATATACTGTATGGACTGTATACTGCATCTATTATCATTTATAATAGTAGTTATTTGTCTAAAAGAAAGATGAACACCTTTGCCCAACATCACTTACCTCCCAGAAAGCAGGGAATTCCAGATGATTTGTTTGTCAATTCACAAAAGTCTGGCTCGGCAGTGTCAAAGGGCAGATATGCCAGGCCATTGTCTGTGAAATTCTGGTTAATGGCCATAAGGCCCAGCTGGTTTGTGTTATTCCGAAGCTTAGCAGCCAATGGCAAATCACTACCATATACCTGGCTGCCATCAATAAACGAGGTAAGTATATTCATCTGTTCTCTAACTGGAGATCCTGGTGTACACACAGGAGATGAGCGAAACAGTGGAATACAGTCACTGCGATTAGTGAAGCGTGGGTCATTTTGTGGGATCTGCGAACAGAAAAGGCATTCCAGGCTATAATGCAATCAATTTTCCAGCATACAAAACTATACTCTGACCTAGAAGTATAAACTGAATAAAAATCTAATGGATATCATTACAGAACTGAGCACATAACACCCTTTACAGTTAAAAAGCATCTAGAGCATCTAAACTCCCACAAAATGTGGAGGGATCATGAACATTTGGGACTAAAAAAAACGCTGCATATACAGGCATTCAGCGTAAAATGCACTGGTCATGGACACATAGGCGTTTACAGGCGTATTTGAAAAGGAGCGTTTACAGGAAAAAAATTACCAAATGTGCATTCTTTGAGGAGTATTTGAGCTTAATTTACATGTGTAAACACACACATATATGCAGGCTAATACACCTAAATGTATTCCAATGGCAAGAATAAATTAATATTCTGGCCAATAGAATGCATTTATGCTCAATGCCTTACAAGCATAAGGTGTACATATGCGCATAAACGACATACATGCACAACATTAGAAGCATGTATTCTGCCATTTTCTAGCAGAAAAAATCTAGCATATTTTGAGTTTAAATTCATACGCCTGTGTGCATGAGGCTTTGCATTCTTAGTCCTTAGATGAAGTGGCTGTGTGAGCCATGGTTGCTACCCAGGTTGAATTTTAATCAGGTCTGGCTTTATTCATCTCAGTTATATGGGGGTTGATTTTTCACACAAAAAAAAATATCATTTTATGCTTTCATGTCAGCTCATAGGAAGTGACAAGCACCCTGCATGTCTGGCAAGTTCAACGAACATTTTCTGCCCTTGCTAAAAATGTTTTTAGCTTAAAAAAAACAAAAAACAAATGCAGCCACCACATCCAAGGGACTCATATGCTGCAAAAATTGTATTTTTGTTCATAGATTTAGTTATCCTTTAATTACATATCAAATGCCCAGACTTCCCACAATGATGGGATCTTCTTATAGCACATGTTTACCTTGAGAGGAAAGCAGGGGGGCTCCCGGGCACAGCTGATGTCACAGTCAATCCCTTCCAGGAATGTGGATTTTGAAGGGGTTTCAGGGGACAGGTCAAGGTCATGATCAGTCCATTGCCCCCACTGCATAAAGGCAAGAGCCCTGTCATTGTCCAGAGTTATTTCCTCAGTGGGGAATCTGACAATCTCATTGGATACTTGACGTGCCTTAGTGGAAGTGAGAGAATTAAAAAAATATGTTACACCAAAATGGTATTTGTAAATTATAGGTTTGAATCTGTGTTGGCATTTCTTAAGGCCCTGTTTACACTTATGTGATGCGGGAATCTGTGCAATATTGCATGCATGAAAAAGTAATACGTTTTGGCAAGTATGCTGTAGTGCCATTCATTTTTAATGGACCCCAAAAGTACCACCCAGAGCTAAATCACATTGCAAGAGATGGTATCCTATTCCCATGTGTTGTAGTGCAATGTAATTTTATTTAAAAAGTGCCCACTTTTCTTTTGTGCAATTGTCACATTACATAGTCTGGCTGACAAAATTCCATCCAGTTCAACCATAATCCAATTGTAAGGCAGCTCACTGAAATGAATGGGCTGCCCTAAACATGATGCACCTAAATGCACAAAAACGTAGGCTTACTGTGGCAGCTGCATAAGTGTCATCAGAGCCTAAAGAGTAAAGCTGTTTATATGAACATCTGTATGAAAATTCTCATCAGTACATTTGATGACCTGACAAATATCATTTGAAATTACTTTAAAAAAACAGTTGCTTAACATTCAATTTTGCACTGAATGGACTTCCTTGAATGAAACCCACATTCACTGTTAGAAACTCAATCCTTCAAGAAAAATATACCATCCTGCCCTTTAGAAATTTTTTTAGCACTTTGGTTGAAAACAAATGTCAATTTGACTTCATTAACAATTAGAAAATCAAACATTCCTAAAACAAACATTTTTGAACAAAATTCTACTAGTGTCTACTAGTGTCAGCTTATTGTCTACCCAGAGCAATGTTATAGGTGGATTGTGCTGCGCTTAATACCAACTTGCTTTCTATCTCTGAAAGGAAACTAGTGGCAAGATCCTCCAGTTATAATCTCTGGCTCTCATCCCATCTTAGGGTGGAACCCTACTGTAATGGTCAAGGCAGGTGTATAGTCCTGGTAACTCAAGTGCAGAGATCTTACCACTGGAGTCTTCTAGATGCAGCATAGGAAAACGTTTGGAAGTTTAAATCGACAGCACCCGCCAAACACTGAAATTTGAGTTTTGAGTGAATTAACTACTTTTTGGTATTCAAATCATGATTGTGATGTCTACCATTAAGAGTAATATTTTTAGCATTTTTTTCCATAAAGGCAGTATACACTGTTAATATGAAGACATCAGTATTGTAGAAGATCTAATCTTTGGTTCCATAGCCACTTGTTAAAATGCTTCCAGTTAAGGGATAATCAAACCTGCTTGCTGAACTGCTAGTAAGTTAAAAGTCAATGTACTTCTTTGTACGTCATATAGATGTCGCTCCACTTCCTTAAATTGAACCTCTCCAAAACCGAGTTTCTTGTCTTCCCCCCAGCCCGGACCCCACCCCCCATTGACTTCTCCATCACATCCAACAACGCTACCATCAAACCCGCCCTGCAGGCCAGAGTACTGGGTGTCATTCTGGACTCCAACCTATCCTTCCAGCCCCAAGTCCAATCTTTAACAAACTCGTGCAGACTCCACCTCCGCAACATCGCCAAAATCCGCACGTTCCTAACCCCAGAAACCACTAAACAGCTCATCCACTCCCTCATCATGTCACGACTCGACTACTGCAACTCCCTCCTCACTGGCCTGCCTCGCCACTGGCTATCCCCGCTTCAGTCGATCCTGAATACGGCTGCCAGACTCATTCACCTTTCCAACCGCTCTGTCTCCGCCACCCCCCTCTGCCAATCCCTCCACTGGCTTCCGATTGCGCAACGGATCAAATTCAAAATCCTAACGCTGACGTACAAAGCTGTCCACCATACTGCCCCGAACTACATCACTGACCTAATATCCAAGTACCGCCCAGCACGCACACTCCGCTCCTCACAAGACCTCCTTCTCTCTAGTTCCCTGGTCTCCTCCTCCCATGCCCGCCTCCAGGACTTCTCCAGGGTGTCACCCATCCTCTGGAACTCCCTGCCCCATCCCATCAGATTATCACCTACTCTCCTCTCCTTTAGGCACACCCTGAAAACCCATCTCTTCAGGGAAGCCTACCCCACCCCCTGCTAACTTGCCGACCTCCACACTTCTTCCTACCACTCCATCCCCCACAGCTATCTCCTCCTGTGCCACCACCCCCTCCCTCCTAGATTGTAAGCTCGAAAGAGCAGGCCCTCGATCCCCTCATGTTTTGCATTGTATTGGTATTGTTCTGTCACATGTTCTGTCCCCCTTTGTAATGTACAGCGCTGAGCGAACTATTGGCGCTTTATAAATACTGTATAATAATAATAATAATATACAGTAAAAGTATGTCCAATAAATAAAGCTGGCCATAGATGGGTCTTTTTCATTTTTTCCTTGAGCCAGTGGGTTGAACAGAAAAAAAAAAACTAAGGGATTCCTTCATCCACATGATCAGGGTGGATGGAGGAATCCCCGCAGATCGGACATTGTATTCTGACAATTGTGACCCATCGCTATCAGCATACACTGATCAGCATCTGCAGCAGATTGCATGCAGTCACTGATCAATGAAAGTTTTTCAGCATGTCCCTTCAACAGAAGATGATCAAAAAGTCGACTTCAGTTCAGCAGGGACCAGCCAAATTCTGATCACTGTATGGACAGTTTAAGTAATGTAGGTCGCACAATGCTAGATAAATACCTATACCACCAATAGAACCTGTAGCTATGATTCAGTGAGTAGAATTAGGGATCATTCACACCGTGCGCAGAGGCCTGCTCTTTTCTGCACCTGGTCAATACAGGTCTCCACAAAGGCACATAGAAAACAATTGCTTTCAATGTGAGCTGTTTACACCACTTTGGAGTGGAGATATGCAGAAAGATGTAGCATGTCTGCATTTTTCCACAACACATTACAACTCACTTGAATTTTCCATCTATCCCTACATCACAGAAACAATTGTTCACATTTCATGTTCAATAAAGTGAAAAGAGAAATAGGACTTTTTTTTTGCCCAGTTATACTTATCCTAGGTGGATGCAGCATTGGTCTGATGCTGCATCTGTCCCCCGCCGGCTCTAAAGGTGAGACCCCAGCAGTCACATGACTGCTGATCGCTGAGCTTTCACAGGTGCTGTGAGCAGAAAGCGGGACTATCAGTCACCGCTCTTTGCTCTGCCCCCCCACGCTCACTGAAGCTCTGGGCTGTGGAGGGGGAGGGAGCGGCTGGCTCAGGCTCTCAGCGAATCTCTGAGAGGCTGAGTCAGATACTGCTCCAGTCTCTGGGGTGGATCCTGACTTTAAAGTTGGAATATTTCCCCAACCTGGACCGGCTGAGTGATGTCAGCCGACAGCAGGATTCAGTCCGCTGTCAGCTGAAAACGGGTCAGAGGAGTGCAGAACGAACTGCACTCCTGTGATCCACAGGAGAAGTATAGCCAAAAGAGCTTTGGCTGTACTTCTCCTTTTAAAAGAAAAGGTAAAAAGTGCCTAGCATTATAAAAGCGCAAGGCAGGCCCCCCCCCCCCCCCTCTTTGCCTGTAGGAAGCCGTCTACATTTCATAATGGACTGTTTTAGCACATGGGCTGAAGTGAGTCCTTACAACTCAAAGCTGTCACCCTTAGCAGACAATTCGAAAATGAGCCAGAACAAAGGACTAAAATATATTCAATAAAAGATGATATCTCTGTGTTTAGGTAGATCTATAGCCAAAACATTAAGTGGACCAGCTGACAGGCTTTTACTACTATCCAGGACTCCATTGATGAAATTTTACCACACAGGCGCAGACAACAACAAAACTGACATACGTTCTAGTAGTTCCCTACCTAACGTAAAC